TTGTTCCCTTCTTTATATTACAGCTGTTGAGGTATTTTTCTCATCTTCCCAGCTAGAAAAATAGCTCTTTTAGGGAAAGAGATGATCATTCATTTCTTTTCTCCTGGAAGATCTAGCACAATGTAAGTACTTAAGCCTCAATAAATACTTGTTGAATGGGTGAACCTATTGCAAAATCAATTTTTGTGTTAATAACAAATAACTATTGCTAGTCAGCAAAACTCAGCAGTTTCCTTATGAAATAATACAAGTGAATTAAGGAAAGAAAAAAAAACTCCATTCTGCTAAATATCAATGACTAATGTTACAGGGCTACAAAAATTTTTTGGTGTATAGAATGAAAATTAAAACAACTTGAATTTTTTCTAAAATTATAAGGCAGTATGATAGTGCAGGGGGCAGCTAGGTAGAGCAGTGGATAGAGTGCCAGACCTGAGTTCAAATGTGGCCTCAGATACTAGTTGTGTGACTCTGAGCAAGTCACTAGTTAACCCTGTTTGCCTCAGTTCTTCATCTGTAAGATGAACTGGAGAAGGAAATGGTAAACCACTCCAGTATCTTTGCCAAGAAAACCCCAAAAGTTAGACATGACTGAAATGATTGAACAATAAAAATAACAAAGGATAGTACATGAATGTGAAATGATTATTGTATGAGGACAAAGATAACAACCAATTCCATCAAAAAAAACCCCATTGATTTGCTAAATGTCTCCACGGTGCTAGGTCCTGGGTATATAAACCTGGGTATATAAATACTCTCGAGGACCTAACATTTTATTGTTAAAGATGATCAGCACATGCATAAATAAACAAGAAAAAAAAATCTTTTGAGAGGCAACTTTGGCAGTGACAGAAATAGAAAGTAGAATCTGGAGTTAGGTGATCTGAATTAGATTCCCAACTCTGACACTAGCTTTGTCACTCTGGGAGTCACTTAAGTTCTCTGTCCTCAGTTTTCTCATCTGTAAAATGGAGATAATACAGGGTGACCCAAAAATCTTAGTGCAGTTTTTAACTATTGGAGCTTAAAACTGAACTAAGATTTTTGGGACACTCTACTTCAGAGGCAATTTCTGGTTCTGGTTCTGATACTGCCTCTTCAAATCCTGACACACACTTGCTGTGTAACCATTGCCAAGTCACTTAACTTTTCAGTATACCAGACATCTCTCTTAAATTATGTATTACAGATGAGTTGCAGATTTCTGTAAATGGAAGAAAGATTTCACAACAATGAAATCACAAGTTTAGACCACATTACTTCCTACCTCACAGGATTGTACTGAGGAAAACATTGGCTAAATGTTTGCTATTACAGTAAATTATATTGTGCACAGGGATATGCTTAATGGATACTTTTAATTGTTATTTAAATGTACTTGATATTAAAATAAACTTTGTTTTAGACTACATAGCAAATGCCATTATATTATGTCTAAAAATGATACGGTTGCATAATAGTCCAAGTATATATGGAAACAGTACAATGTAATATTATAATTCCTTTATGAATAACTTAATGAGTCTTTAATTTGTACTCTCTTGGAATGCTTATGCCTGAGCTTCTTTTCCCCCTTCCTTCAAACAAACAAAATATCTCAAGCTTCTATACTTAAAAACAGAAATGGCTTGAGTTTACCAGTCTCTTTCATTCCATTTATATAGTGCCCTTTTGTCAAAACTTACCAATATTTTGAGGCCACTAGTGGTGGCTCTTCTCCGCAGCATATTGTAGTGATTATTAAAGGCTCAGTTATTACTTATTTCTGGTTGGACCCTGACAGTTGATGGGTGTGAAACCGATCAGACAGGAAGATCAAGTTCCTGTTCACTGATTGTAAAATATCATTATGAATAATTTATCGGTTCCCTTCTTCCTCTGAACATTGAATTCAACACCAAACTGAAAATTACAGAATATTTTAAACTGTTGACTTTAACTGTTTTACTAAAAGAATTCATTTGAAATAACAAAACTGAAATTTTAAAAATTAAACTTGGGAAAACCCATGAAGAAGACATATTCTTGACAATTACTTAGATAAAGGCTTTTAAAAAGATGTATCAATAAGGGAAAGAGTAGGATTCACTGTCTAAATATAATGAATCAGTAACATTTTACTGAAAAGCTGTGGTCTTTTTTTGGATATGTAATTATGGTATTTAGAGAATTATTTTGGCTTATTTTACAAAGGAATACAATTGTGCTGTAGAATATTTGTGCCACAGAAAGTTTGAAATTTCAAAAAAAAAATTGGTCCCATGTGTCTAAAATATGTTTTAGCTTGTTACATTGATGTCATAAATAAACATCACAACTCTTCCAAATCATTCATTCAATTTTCTCCTGAATTGATAGGAATACTAATGTTCTGGTGTAAACTACTTTTAGAGTTTTTACTATACTTGCTGCTCCACACTTCATGAAAATGTCTTTTTTAACCTATAGAGCTTCTTGGAAAAAAAATGAAAATGATACCATCTGAATTTTTCTAATACGTTTTATCAGAAAAAGTGAGATAATTTGTATTTTTAAAAGATGGAATATGTGGAGGACATCTCTGTTTATACCCAATGTAGCATCTACACCTTGTGTAGACTGTGTTGTCCTCTAGCATGGCTGGTACTGTAGTATCATCACTGATGGTTGATGAAGGACTGGAGGTCCCCACTCTTAATGATACTTTGAAAGATATGTGACAGTTGAGGAAAGGGTGAATAATCTGTGATATATGAATGTTATGGAATGCTATTTTGCTGTAAGAAAGAAGGGAACAGACAATTTCAAAGACATATGGGAAGACTTATATGAATTGATGCATGGTAAAATGATTAGAACCTGAAGAACAAGTTATACCAACTGTACTCAAACTTTCTGGTCTCAAGACCCTTTACACTCTTAAAACTTATTGAGGATTCCAAAGAGCTTTTGTTTGTGTGGGCTATATCTAGTGAAACTTACTTTATTATAAATTAAAATATCTTAGTATTATGATGATAATAGCTTTGACCTCAGGGACCCCTTGAGAGAGTCTTGAGTATAATTGGGGGGGGGGGCTAGATCATACCCTGAGAGCAACTGATTTATATTATAACATCTTTTTTATAAAAACAAACAATTTTGAAGATTTTAATAAACTGATCAACAATGAAATGAGCAGAAACAAAAGAACAATTTATGTAACATGGTAAAAACAAACAAAACAAAAACTTGTAAAGCTATGATCTATGATCTATGATCAATTCCAGTGGAGAGATGATGAAACCTCCTGAGAGGTTAATAGATTTTGGATGCAGAGTGAGACATATGTGTGTGTGTTTGTGTAGAGTTAATGATGGAATTTGTTTTCCTTTTCTATATTTTAATGAGGTAAGATGTGGGAGGGAGAGAAAATAGATTTCTATTAATTGAAAAAAAATTTTTTTAAAGTAAAGGAAATGCTACAGCTGTGGAATTTTACTGTGCACTTTCTGATGAGGTCACTATATTATTAGTTTTATTTACTTGTTTTTACTTTGTTAGGAGACCTCTCATGGGGTGGGAAAATCTGTAAATGTTTATAATTGTAAAAACAAAACACATTAATAAAACTTTTTAAAGAAAAAAAAAAGATGTGTGACTTCTTCTGTGTAAGTGTTTTCTCCACCAATAAGATCTCAACTTCTCACCCTTAAATGACTGACGACTTTTCACACAGGAAGATAGGGATGTTTCAATCTGTCCTTGTAGCTTTCCTAATTTGTGTCAGGAATAGCCTGAAATACTAAATGTTAAATGAATTGTGTGTTTTCTGGTTTCTAAAGTGCTACACTAGATAAAGAGAATTTTCTCGGGTAGCTAGGATTTTGCGAATAATATTTCATTTAACTAATGGGAAATTTAAAAGCTTCGATGACATTGTAACCAAAGCACTCAGAAAATGCCACCGTGCAAATAATGTGATATGTAAAAACAAAAACAAAAACAGAACAATTGCGGAAGTTAGAAAACTACAACAAATTGACTTGCCTAGCCGCCGAAGTATATTGGAAACCAATGTCATCTAAAAAGAAATCTAAATCAAAGATGGAAGAATAGCTGAAAAACGTGTTATGAGTCTCTTCCGACGCTAATCGTCTTCAAGACAAGGTGCCTAAGTGCACTTTCCTTAATAAAACGAAAGCAAACAAAACCCTCCCTAAAAGATGGAATGGGAAGGGGTGGTGAGAAAAAGGAGAGCATGGAGAGTGCCTCGTGGGCAATTGGAAGAGATCTTTCAAGAAACTGTCGGTGTTTGAAAACAAAGACATAGGCTCAAAGAAGAGACCTTAGCAAGCACCCAGTCCAACCCTCTCATTTTACAGAGGAAGAAACTGGAAGCCCTGAGAGATTAGCTAAAATAGCTAAACTATTAGATTAAGCTATAAGATTAGCTAGCTAAAACCACACAGCTTCTACGTAGCGGAGACGGGATTCGAGCCATCAGCCCACCGAGATGTTCAAATCAATTACCGTACTTCATAGAGCTCACCGCATAACAACCTATCCCTTACCCAGGCAGTGACATCAGGCTCCTTGTTTGGGGGCAGCTAGGAGCTGACCATAAAAAAGCTTACATACGACCAAGGCGGTAAGGGGAGGGGGTGGCCTAGGATCTGAAGGAGGGAGGTTCCCAGGCTCTGGAAATACAGAAAGCACATATCGAAGAAGCCTGGCAAACATAATGTTTTAACTTTACCCTCTTTGGAAAGCTCTAATATGAACTATTGTTCTAAATTGTACTAAATGTTTCATTCCCCCCCCTTGAAAGGCTGAGATCAAGAGTTAAGAGTAATATCTTATCTAAACTTTGCGTCTCCCCCAATGCAGGGCACCGACCTCTGCACTCATCAGCTGCTTAAAGAAATGTTTATTGAACTGGATTGATTTAGATCGGACGGGACTCGATTGAACTCTGTCGTTCCAAGCAGATCTGGTTTTCAAGCTCCGGGATGGAACCCGGGGCAGCGAGAGCCTACCTTGACCGGATGCAAATAGCCATCGCCTCGCAGAGCGCCCAGCCCCGGGTCTGAGGGCGCGTCCTCCTCGTCCTGAAGGCTGCGGGTGAGGTGGGCGATATAGGTGGTGGCCAGCAACAGCACGTCGAGCTTGGAGAGTTTGGTGTCTGGGGGCACAGAGGGCAGGGTCCTCTGAAGCTCCAGGAAGGCGTGCCTCAAAGTCTGCACCCGACTACGCTCCCGGGCAGCGTTCGCAGCCGCCGGCCTCCCGCTCCCTGCCCGGGGCCCAGGCCCGGGCGCGGCTGGAGAACTGCCAGCGGCGACTGTGGTGGGGAGCGGCGGATCCGACTCGGGGCTGGAGTTGGGCTGGCTGCTTCCAGAGCCGCTGCTGCTGCAGTCCATGGGCGTCTTCTCGGGCACTGAGCTACTTGAGTTACCTGCGAACTGCAACCTGTGACCAGACAGAAACAACAATGAGCTCCGCTTGGGGCCAGTGCCCCCTCTGCCTATCCACAGCCAGGGAAGCAGGAGCTGAAGTGGCAGCTGGACCGGAAGGGAGACAGGCTAGTGGAGCCCTCCTCCCCTCGATGGACATCCATATATTCCCTGACCTCTAGAGAACTAGAGAACTAGTACTAGGCCCCTTCCCGGCGTGCACGGTTTAGGCTTCTGGCTCAGCCAGAAGTTTCTGAACTCGTCAGTTTCCTGGCAAACCCAGGTCCCATCTTATACTCGAAAACATAACTTTTAAATATGCAGCCTGGGGCGTCCAGAGAAAAGCCCAAATTACAAATTCAATCAAACATTCTACCCAGGCACCAGAAAACCACCCAATACCTCAGGCTGTACTTTTCCCGTTGGTTGTTGTCCTTCGTAATCGAAGAGGACCAAAATGACATTAAGGTGTAGGGTCAGTGTTCAGCGTTTCCAGCTATGGCTGATCAAAGCAGTACGAGCTCGGAAGGCTCTACCACAAGTCGGGCACAAATAGTAGGTAGGAACATTTGGTAAGGAGATGTCTCTAAATTTGCCCATCGGGTACTTTGCAGCGAAGGAGATAAGATAGAGATAAATTTAGATAATTTTAATGAGACAATCCCCCCCCCCCCCCCCCCCCGGATCATTTGGCAAGAGACAAACTTCTAGTGAAAAAGTTAAAGTCTTGAACATTTCCTCTCTCCTCCCGGGTAAAAGTGGTCAGCACACTGGCTCTCCAGTGATTATTGAACTTTACCTGAGATAAGGAACTCAGAGGTGTACCCTGCAGAAGGGAAAAACTAAATACTACTGGACACCTAACTCCGGGTTCTGGATAGCTGAGCTTGGTTACACGCTTTAAGTGGAGGGATGGAAGTTATTCCCAGAATGGCGTGCCGTAAACGAACTGTCTAGAGACATAGTTATGGAGTCCCTTGCCTGCTACTATGCTCACCTAATTTAACTCAGTCTCATGCCACTGATAGATATATAATCAATCATCATCTCTGTCATTGCAAGTACCACCGGACTTTATAATCTTAAATAATATTTTGGAAGCTGCCTTTTCATTTCATTCTATTCCCTCCTGCCTCCCTTCCTACAGCTGCTGGCTGGTTTACTTGACTAATGCCTTCCAGGGGTGGGGAACCTTCGGCCTCAAGGCCACGCGTGGCCCTCTAGGTCCTCAAGTGCGGCCGTTTGACTGAATCCAAACTTCACAGAACAAATTTCCCCACTCCTGAGACCAACCAATTACACCCAAATTTAAAAGTACTTCTGAATTTATCGGAGTGTTTCCAAAGCTCTTTCTTACCCGCTGCCTAATGTGTCCCTCTGATTATACCCATTTATTATAGATGAGGAAACTCTCAGAGATGTGAAATAATTTCCCCGAATTCACATTTACAGCTAACAAGAGGCAGATCTGACTTGAAAACTAGTTGCCTCACCCCAGGTTCCTCCTCTCCCTATTACATCCCCTTCCTTTCTGCGGAAAAGCCAAACTCAGTGCATTAAAACAAAATAAACAAAAACAAAAACGCCAACCAATCCAGTCACGGAAACGGGTACTGTAGAATAAAGAGTCAGAGGACCTGGGTTTGTTAATGCAGACTTACTTAGGCAAGTATTTATGTAATCCTGAGCACGTTATTCCGATCCTCAGTTTCCTTATCTGTAAAAGTCCCTTCCAACTGAGTCTATGATCCTATATTCCATCTCCCCGACACCCCGCGCCTGTCTGCCAAAGGAGTGGGCAAGGAAAGGGTAGGGGGTAACCCTCTGACTTTTAGATCATCCCTCTGAGGAAGTACACTCATGCAAGGCTCAGTAAAAAAGGACAGGACCAAAGAAGACTCCCCAGCATCTGTCGCAAGTGGGGAGCCCAGCGAAGCTCAGCCCGGCACAACTCGTGCGGTGCGCTTCCTTGCCTGCCCCAGGGTTCTGGGTCCAGTTCAAGTAGGGCTGGCACCAAAAAAAAAAAAAAAAGAAAGGAGGGAGGGTACGGTCGCCAGAGGGGATCGGGAGAGGGGATGGTCCTCAGGACTTGTTGGACTGCTCTTTGCCCCGCTGCTCACCTTTCTTCCCGGAGCCGTCGGGCGCGCGGCTTTCCTAGAAGGGAGTGGAGAAGGCGCAGCTTGGGTGCTGCAGGTCTGTTCTAGGTCGTTGCCCGTCTGTCCTAGGTAGCGTGTGCTCTGCGAGGGTCGGGTCAAGTCTGCTGGCCCCTCACATTGCAGTTCTGCTGGAGCCTCGGGTCTGGTTGCTGAAACTCTTTATTAATCACTGATGGTCTGGTCTGTCTGTAAATGCGAGGTCTCTCTCCATCCGCCTACAGTTGCAGAGGACTGGGAAATCCACAACTAACTACCTGAGGGTCCCCTTCTCAGGGTTGAAGCCCCTTTCCTGCCTGGAGAGTCATTAATCAAACTGCTGTTGGGTGGGAGGAGGGAGGAAGGGGGAGAATTGGGGGCTCCCACGGCAGTCTGACAGCCTACACATCCCTCCTCCTTCCTCCAGGAGTTAAGCAAATGTGGGGGCGGAGGGAGGGAGGGGACACTAGCTATGGTTGTGGCAAGAGGCGACCATAGTCCACTCACAGCAGTTAGGTTCTTTTCCAGACTCTGCAGCCAAACTTGCGTTGAGGGGAGCCTGCTCAGCAGTATCCAGGGTCCCAAGCCACTTCGAATACTCTTGCCACCCCAGTAGTATACACTCTCACTTTTACTTAGGACACTTGAAAATTCCTTGGAGGACAGAGACTTACACATACAAATCTTAATCAGGTAGTTTCTTGCTACAGCAGGGAGATTTACACTCTCTTTAAAAAAACAAACATATATATGTATGTGTGTATATGTGTATTTACATATATAATATATATGTGTGTGCATACATATATATCTCACAACAAACATGGGCATCTCATTATATAGAGGTATATAAAGAACATAAAAAGGAAATTTGTATATGAAACTGGGCCTTTTTATTGCTCAATTTGAAAAAATTGCTAAGCAGTGTGCTGTAGTAGATAGCCAGTTTCCGACTGGGAAGATGGTATTCTAGACCTGCCTCTGATACATACTGGTGGTGTAAACCTGGACAAATCACTTAACCTCTCAGTGCTCTAGGCAGCTCTAAAGCTCCAAGTTTCCAAGAACATTCTGACTTGCATCAAAAGAGGGAATTTTCTCATTATGGAGTTCCATATACAAATGAAATCACAGGACAATACCAAAAGTGCCCTGCTTGTTAAGGAAAAACAACTCCTCTCTTCTCTGGTTTGCCATTTTAAGCTAGTTGCAAACTGGCCCCTTTCTATTGGAACAGTGTGATTGAAACTACCTTTATACTATCTTTTCAGTATTTTGACAGCTACTCTCTTCAAAGCACTGGGACCAAACATATGCCCCTCACTCAGGCTCCATCTTCCTTCCTTCTTCCTCCACCTCATAAAATACCCTGGCTTCCTTTGGGATCCAGTTCAAGGACCACCTCCTTCAGGAGACCTTTAGCAATCTCCACCTCATCAACTGCCTACACCTCTAAGGCTACCCAACTGTCCATCTTTATTCTGTAGATTACATATATGTAAATATACATACATTTTCATACATACTTATATACATACATTTGTTGTTGAGTTGTTTCAGTTGTGTCTGACTCTCCTTGACCCCTTTTTGTTGTTTTTTTTTTTGGCAAAGATACTGGAGTGGTTTGCTCTTTCCTTCTCCAGCTCATTTTAAAGATGGCAAATAGGGTTAAGTGACTTGGTCAAGGTCACACAGCTAGTAAGTGCTGAGGCCACACTTGAACTCAAGGAAGAGGAGTCTCCTGGACTTCTGGGCCAGGGCTCTACACACTGTACAAGCTAGCTGCTCTCTCTCTCTCTCTCTCTCTCTCTCTCTCTCTCTCTCACACACATACACACACACACACACACACACACACCCCACACACAAAATCACTCACACACATTTAATATATATTATATATGTATATGTACATGTGGTGTATGTATATATACATACATACATGCATTACATACATATGTATGAAGCTATAGCATGCCAAGTGGCCACACCTCAATGGAATGGGCAGATGAGAAGAATTTGTGCCAACAGCTATGAAGCAGGCACTGTGGAGTGCTCAGAGCTTGGTCAGACACTGAAGAAGCCAAGGTCATCCACTGTATTCCAGGCTATCACCAACTTGATTTTTGTCTTGCCACTGGATTTCAATGACTGTAGAAGAGAGAGTGAGGCTGATGACTATGTGCAACTCTGCCTCACTTAAATCTAATTCACAAAGAAGTCAACATCACCTGTGATATCATTGGTCCTCTTTTACAAAAAACAAAACAACTCTCTCTGTGTGTGTATATATATATATATAAACACATATATGTTATCTTCCCCATTACCATGTATGCAGCACCTTGAGGACAGAGACTCTTTTTGCTTTTTCTTTCTATCCCAAGCACTTAGCACAGGTGTTCAATAAATGCTGTGTGTTTTAAAATGTTGTATTGAACTTCCTCTTCCCCTTTTTGCATCACTATTGATATCCACACATTTCTTTCCACAACTCACCCCATCCTCTAAAAAAAAAAAAAAGTCCTTCCTTGTAAACAAATGTGTAATCAAGCAAAGTAGTTTGACTAGTTGAGTTTGAGTATCTGTTTCATTCTGCCTTTGGTCCATCTCCTTTCTACCAAGAAGTGAGAAACATGTTTCATTAATGGTCTTCTGAGGCATGATTTTAATACTTTATTGATCAGACATTTTAAAACTTTCAAAGTTGTTTTCCTTTACATTAATGTATTCTTTATATAAATTGTTCTCCGACTTCTCACTTTACTTCAGCTCATACAAGTCCTTTCAAATTCTTTGAATCTGTAATATTCTATTATATTCAGATGTCATGATTTCTTCAGCCATTTCCCAAATTGATGGGGACCCACTTTGCTTCTCATTCTTTGCTTCTGTAAAAAGTGCTGCTATAAATATTTTTGTGCATATGAGTCCTTTCACTTTGTCTTTCACTTCTTAGGGAGTAAATGCCTAATATGTCTGGGTCAAAATTAAATGATTTTTTTTGTATGGTTCCAAATTGCTTTCCAGAAGGAATGGAATAATTCATAGCTTCACCAATAAGTATGGTAGTCTTCCCAAAGTCCTTCCAGCAACTGCTGTTTTCCACTTTTGTTATCTTTGCCAATCTGACGTGTGAAGTAAAGCCTCAGTTGTTTTAATCTGCATTTCTCTTATTAGTTATTTGAAGAATTTAAAAATATTTGTTGAACTGTTCGATGACCAATTCTGATAGACTTAACTCTTCTCAGCAATATAATCATCTTAGATAATTCCAAAAGACTCAAGATGGAATATACTGGTCACATCCAGAGAAAGAACTATGGAGTCTGAATGCAGATAGAAGTGCACTATTTTCTCTTTTGTGGTTTTTCCCTTTTGTTCAGATTCTTCTTTCACATGACTAATGTGGAAATATGTTCAATGTGATTATACATGTACAGTCTATATCAGATTGTTTGTCATCTTTGGGAGTGGGGAAGGGAGGGAGAAAAAAATTGGAATTCAAAATCTTATAAAAATGAATGTTGAAAAAATATCTTTACATGTAAGTGGAAAAAAATAAAATACTATTAAGGGAAAAGATATTTGTTGGTAACTTGCTTTTCTCCTTTTGAAAACTGTCTGTTTATGTCTTTTGACCTTTTATTTATTAGAGAACTACTTTTATATATTTGTATTCATTCCCATTGGATATATAACACCTCAGCCCCTCTTCCTTCCCTTTTTCTTTTTCCCACTTGGACTATGTGGAATTTTACCTGCCCTCCCTTTCCCTGAATCTGATGAATCAAAAGTGGACTTAGGGTCTTACTGGATGAGATTGAGTTTTAAGTTCCTCAGAAAATAAGTCAAATCATTATCTCTATCAGACAATATAATTATGTGTAAAGGGTAAGGCCAAGAAGGAACTATTGATCAGTAAATCTTACAATAAAGTTGGGTTCACATCTATGTTTAAGGATCCCTGGTACAGTGAAAAGGATTCTGGATTTGGATTCAGAGAACAAGGTTCAAATCCTAGCTCTGACACTTACTACCTGACATGACCTTGGACATTTCTGAATCATTTGGACCTCAGTTTTCTCATCTATAAAATGAAAGGCTGGGCTAAATGACTTCTGAGGACCCTTCCAGCTCTACAGCCACAATTTTTCAGCTGTCTGCAAAGGAAACGGTCTGAAAACCATTAATTTTTTTTCTCATTTAACAAATAGATACTGTGGGACTGCTGTGTGCAAGAGATCATGTGGAATAATGGAATACTAGTTTTTCTAAAATACCACACAAAATTTTTCCCTGTTGTCCAATGAGAGGGAAACTAATTATTATTCTTTTCTCTCTCCCCCATCCCTTCCCACCATGAAAAAGTTTATGCAACATAATCCATTAATTAGTTAATTAATTTAATTAATTAATAAAACAGAGACAGTACTATAATTTGTGTGTAGAACACCTTCTGAACTAACTTCCTCAACCCCCACTTTCATTGGCAACCTGGGTCCCAGAGAGACAGTTGACTGTGAGAGAAATGATTATTAATAAACAATGATTCAGGGAGATACAGAGTTCCCCCCTTTTCTATAGTCCTGATTTTAAAAGTTCAGCCTCTTGAATGACATTGCTGACAAAGAGATTAGACCCATCCTAGGGCCACCACTGTCTCCTGCTCAGGCTTGGATGGGACATACTTCTTTGAATAGATAGCTCCCAAAGCTGGGGGTGGTCTGAGTACAGAGATAGTGTCTCTGTCCAAGAGTGACATGATGTCACTTTCAGCCCCTCATTTTTAATATAGCTCACCTCCTATCGTGTTAACCAGTCAGAGCTGATTGCCACTCCTCTTCCAGAAGTACATATAAGCTCCGAGCACGCCCGTGATTGTCGTTGTTCTTAAGAGAGACAGACAAATGACCATCCTTTTATTAATAAAAGGCTGGCCTTATTAATGAAATGTTTAAATTACTCAGAAAAGATACCTTTTTAATCACTACCACTGCTTCTCCCCTAAGGGTTTTAGTGATAACTGGGAGGGGTTGGGTATTCTGATACTATGATTCATGAGCTCTTATCTGGCATGTTTCCCAAAACAGATTAACTAGATAACATTTCTCCAGTATTAATCAACCACTTGATAGTAGCTTTTATAAAGGGATATACAGAGAAAGTGTAGCAAGGATAAAGGTACAAAAATATCCCCAAACTGGGAGTGCACTCTCCTGTGGGGAGAATAGGCTCAAGTTTAAAGTGGCTGGTAAGAAACATGCCCCCAATCGGTGGTGTACTCTCCCTCCTGAACACATACCAGGCCTTTGGGGAGAGAGGGCTCAGATTTGAGGCTCATAGATACAGAGATACATATGTAGGAAACACATGTGG